AAAATTTTTAAGAAAAACAAAAACAAAACAAAAAATTAAAGGCGTGTAAAAATGAAAGAGAAGATTTGTTTGTATTTAATAGAATAGCAATTTAATTTCCAATAAATCAAATTAATATTTAATGCTTAGAAAAATATGCTTTCGTAATTGAATTAAATTTTTTTTGGGAAAAATAAAAACAATAAACAAAAAATATACATATTTTTGACATAAATATTATTCAAAATTTGTGTGAACATTTTTGTCATTATATGCCGTTCTTTTCATTATCTTATATATAAATGAAAAAAGAAGACATTATTTAATATTTAAACAATAACAATATTGTAATAATAATAATAATAATAATAAATGTAAGACTATATATATATATATATATATATATATATTAATATATTAATATATATATATTAATATACAAAAACACTGCTTGCCATTTGAATAACTTCGAGACGGATGTTTATTTTAAAAACATTTCGCAGAAATATCAAATTTAGGTAGACAGGCCAACTACGATTCAATTTCCCAATGAATTTCTCAAAGTTAACAGAATTTTTGCTTTAATATATCAACAACAATGTGTCATCCTTCTTGAATGTTTTCCATAAGAGAAGAAAACTTAAAGCATCTTCACTCTTCTCCTCGACATGTAACACATGAATTAACGGAACTATTCATGAAGAATTATTATACTCATGAGCGAGAAATGTTGACAAACATTCCTTAAATATTCCTTTAATATTAAGTCTATAAATGAATTCTAAGAAAATCAATGAAAACTCAAAGAGCAAGCGACGATACCATATAACAACTCGTCTCTTCTTCTTCTTCGTCTTCTTCTTCGCCTATCAAGCCAAAAATAGTGAATAACACAAAAGCAATACTTGCCGGGATTATCGAATCGTTTGAGGAATAGCAAATAAGAAAACTCTATTCGGCTGTAACCGAATCCTTTACAGAACCCCTACCCTCAGCCTAAGGAGAAGAACTAATTTTTCAAACTCTATAATATTCGATGGCCGTGGCTGACTTTTTCCACCTTTATTGAAAACATATAAACATTTCTATTGCGCATCTGTTCCAATTTTGAAGTAACGTCCAGAAATGTTAACAATGTATATTGTTGGACGGTAGGCACGAGCTCTCGCCGACTGGGTCCGTTTCCTTTATTAACCTGCGTGCGAGCACTTTATTATTTTGATTCACCATTTCATGCTAATCGAAAAGATGCACACTTTACAGCGTCTCTGACGCTGACCCTCTAGGTATTACAAATGTTTTGATAAACTGCATATGCTCACGCCTTTCGATAGCGGTTATTAAAATCAACAACCAGGATACGCTTTGAAATAAAAGGCATGTAAGAAGAAAAATTTTAAAAATTAATTTTACATAAAAACCGACCAGAATACTACATTTAGATGGATTCGGATTTTTCATTTTCAGGGCGTTTTCAAATGCCTCTTACGCTGTGAGCGTGTTCTTCAACAATTTACCTCACTTTCAATATCGAGCTGAGTACAAGAATTTCAAATATTTTTACCAAATTTGAAGACGGGCAGACGTACAGACATGCCTAGATCGACTCGGACTTTCCTGCTGCTCAATAATACATAATTTTACGCATTGCCTATAGCTTCCTTCGAGATGTTATCAATCCTTTGACAGAACTAATAGGATTGAGTAAGGAGAAAGAAGAAGAAGAAAAGAAAAGTTGAAAATAATATAATATAATGTAAAAATTTAATTGAGATAAGTATGTGTGGAAGTCAATCAATCGCTCGTCTTTATTTGCTTTCCTTTTTACGGTGTGCGTGTGTGGATTTAGTTGTTTCCATAGAAACAATGCAAACAATGCCTGGCAAAGCCGGTAAAGCAACTCTTTTCAAACCAGATATACCTAAAAACGTCTATACGCGCCTATCGATTGCCATTGATTGCATTCAACTTAAACTTCAGAAGCCTGATAAACCAGCAAGGATTTTATGTAGTTTCGGTCACGATGCCTGCGCTACGAAGGCTTTCTTTTCAACTTTAAATAGGTTTAATCCCGTATAAATCTGGAATCAGGATTCTTACTTATAGGATTTCTTACTATTTATGGGCAGAAATTTCGCCTTTCATTTTATGCACAATATTTCGTACGTTTGACGTATGGGCCAAGGGGAAAAACCATTGCGAACATCTATCAAAATTTCGCTTCGAAACATGTACGTCTTGAGGCCATTTGTTTTATCAGTTTCGCACGTACCCATGTTAATCGATGAGAGGCGTTGAATAAATATGATACTACAATGATGCGTGAAGCTATTCAAATGGAAAGGAGCGCACTTTGCACATTGCATTGGAATTTGTATTTATTTATGTATGTGTTGGTTTTATGTATTTGCATTTCTTCATGTGTCTAATGCCGTATAGTTAAGTACTAAAATTTGCATTAAACACAACAAATTTTGTATTAAAGTCATCGTGGGTTTTTTATATATGTAGTCGAGGCAACAAACCAAGTATTACTTTAGTTATTACCCAGAATGAAAACTGCAATGAAACAATGATTTAAACAAAATTTATTATAAGCCTAACTTTAGGTAAACAATTTGAAATAATATTCATATTTATAATAAATAAAACGAAAATTATAACAAAAATCGGAACATATTCTTAATTATTGAACCGCTATCTAGGAAAAAAAATATCCTCCTCATGTGCATCCACCACATTCACGAGCATTGTACTCATCTCTAACTCTAAAAAAATTTTCGAACAACTTAGAGGTTGGCAAATCAACCGTTTTCAGACACTCAGACATGCGATAAGAAAGGAACAAGAGGAGGAAAAATTGCTACCATACGAATTGAGTGAAAACGCGGTTTTGAATTGTTTCAAAATCGCGGTTTCGTTGCTTTTCAGCCGAGCCCTCGTTAGAGCATTGCGACTGGCTATCAAAAGTGAATCTACTACGACGACCTCAAGCGCAAGAAGTCATGAGTTAGTCCAAGAGAGCTACCTACATCGACATCAAAGCGGAAAATTCTTGGTCACAAACTTTTGCTGTGCTTATGATGGGTACAGCAATATGTAGTGTAGTAGTACGACCCGCTAAAACCGAATAAAACTGTTAATGTAGATGTCTAACGACGTCAAAAGAACAGGATTAACGGTTAACAGATACAAAGCCATCCTCTTGCACGGCAACGCTCGGTCGCACGTTGTAACAGTTGTTAAGGATGACTGTCGCAGCTCGAATGGAAAGTTCTGCCGCGCCCAGTGTACTCAGTAGATATAGGACCACTTGATTCCCACTTATTCAGATCGATTTACCAAATATTTCTCAATAATTGCCTTTTTCAATTAGCAAGATGATTAAAACACATGCAAACACGCAATAAGTTATATATTAATTTTTTCACAGATTCGTGTATAACAGTCGGTTGCATAAAGATATTTCCAAAAACCTGTGATCAAGATGTTCATTAGTTGTTCATGTCAGCTTTACTGCAATTAACAATTAAATCCAGCCTTCTGTCTATTAGAATAAATGGGAAATAAAATGGATCTGTAATTTTATCGTTAATTGTGGAAGAACGAATACACCGGTACAGAGCTTTTTTGCGTCGAACATGCAGGAGGTTCTGGCGAATGCTTGGGCATTCATTTCTCAACAATATATTCACGTGGTCGGAAGCTGTAGCATAGGATTTCAAAAAAACTGTTTGCTTTTTTCAAGCTTGTTTTAGTTTTTTCTGCATTGTGGGCATGTATATGACCGTCTCACCGCCCATTTTTTATCGATCAGGAAATATTCGTGCCAAACTTCAGCTTCTTATCGTTATTTTTGCGAATGTAACGATTTACAAAAGTTACTCGTCAAATTGAAAGGTTTTAGTAAAAATAGGTATACCACATCCAGAAATGTAAGCGATGTACGCCTGTCTCAGAATAGAGAATAGACATACACACTTGCTGCATCAAATCATTAAAAAGCAGTATCTAATATCTAACGCTATTTACTTCCTTATGCAGAATTTTTGATCTAGAAAACGCAAATTGACGGGTACGGTAAATCTAGTGTAAATGATTCAAGTTATAGGAATTGTGTTGGTTGACGTCTTAAAATATGCTGTTTCAAGAAAAATGCTTTTATAATTTTGAAATTAGTTGTAAATGGGTTTTTTTTTATTATAATAACTTTTCTCTTTATATCTTCTGAAATTCAAGTAAGAAGTTTGGATGGAATTCTCTTATTTGATCCGGCTTTTTACAACTATCGTGGCTTCCTCGAAATAGAGCATAAAAAGTCCAATCAGGAAAATTCTGAATCTCGAATAACAAAGCTTAGCAATAAAAACATTATAGTAATTGTTACCTTTTTGTTTCCACAATTTTTGCTTCCCAATTTTACAATCACTAAAAAATAGAAAAAAGTATTTCATAGCGATACGTAAGCGATATATAAGAAATAAATTTTCAACACATCAAGGAAAAAATGACTTACCAAAACATTTCACAAGTGATGCTTCAATTTACTAAACAAAACCCTTTTTTTCACGTACTTAAAATTGTATATTTTTATCCCCCATAAGAAATTTTTGTCTTGCGCGTAGGTAACTCTATCGACTTTGTTTATATCTCTCCTCAGAAAATATTAAAACGTTTCGAAATTTGTAGCATTTTTTTGGTAATTAATAATGGAGGTAGAAATACAGGAGACGTTTCAACAACAGGCTCTGGAAATACGCGAGCCTGGCGACAATTTCGATCCTAATGCCGAACCTCAAAATGGAGAGGAATATTTAATGCATATGTTATATGAACGCAAACGATGCCCGGCCGTGGTAGCCAAAAGGCCAACAAAAATAATGAAAAGTGATGCAGATAATGAAAATAGTACTTGCGAAAATCAACAAGTAACTAAAATTGAAGAAAGAAAAATTTTTATAATAACTTTAATGCTTTTAGCTGGCCAGTCAAGAAGTATTTACTGATATAAACCTTTTACCCACTAAGGAATGGAAATTCATTCAAGGCAATGAATTTTTAAGAACACGTTCTAAAATTATAATGCTGCGTCAACATTTGTCTGATCACAATTACGATAATGCCTTAGAACCACCCTTGATAGATGATGATGCCGCTTGGGTAAAATTTTGCCGGGATAATGAACCGAAACTTAGTTTGATGTTGCGCTTAAATCAGCGCACCTTGGAGCAACTGCTTTCCATGCTTAGCATATGGTTGCAAGAAAGCGGTGACCGTGACTCCGCTGCTGTAGTAACATCTTCTTCCACTTCATCGACAAACAGTATGGTTTTGGATTTGTCTAGTAGCGATCATTGGTTGGGTTCATGGTTATATGCGGTGTTGGCTTGTTTGCATCTACCTTTAGAGCCTGACGTTCATAGCACACTCCGAGATATTGCCCGCACATGTATGGCTCTACGTAGTCGGTTAAAAACTCATGAATTCGAGAAAGCTACACCCTACAATTTGTTTATTTATCTAATTGCTAAGATATTTGACCAGTTGGATTTTCTAGAATTTATATAAAAAATTTTAATAATTTTCGAAAAGAAAACATATCTAACAAAATTTGAAAAAATAGAATTTAATATAATGTTATTTTGAAGGTATGAAGTAGATTAGAAAGCAATTGATAAAACTGTACTCAATTTAGGTCGAATAAGACGTCTTCCAGAGGATTAAGTAGAATCGCGTCCATGATGTTCACTTTCTTCACATACCGTTTGAACGCACATGTTGTTGCAGCATTTCAGTTATTAATTCCGCACTGCGGTCGTTGGTTTGAAAAGTAAAATGCCTTAGCGTTCATTCACATATTGCAAGCAAGACGCATGTCCTTGATTTATTCGAAGCGAACTCACATTGCATAGCAACGTCTTAAAATTAAGCCCAACAAAAACTGCATTTCCTAGTTTTTACGAAAATGACTGCACAAAAAAGTTTTATAAGCATTGTTTTAAAATTACAAACGGTATTTATTAAATATTCTTTTTATTCAAATATATCTTACAAATTCAATTTAGATCACCTGCCCTGGGGTTTGGTTATGCAGTCATGGTTGTCTAGAATTGACCGTTAAAACGCTTGGATATTTTTTTCGTACCGGTGCTATGGAACCGCTCTTTCCATTACTACATCTTCATCACTATAAAATTCAGGGTTATTTTCTAGGCTCCAATACCAAAGATGTGGAAGAGAATTTGGCGATGGAACCATTGGAGATAACATTATGGCAAAGCGGCCGCAGGTTGGCCTATTATAAAGGCAATTTATTAAATCTTATGAAAACTAAACCTAACTTACATTGTCCTCATAATGATTCGAAACAATTACTGTTGACGACTACGGCTGCATTTCCGGTAGGCTATTAAGCAGGATCTCTCAATAAGCACCAATATACAGTGTATAGTTATACGCAAGACATTTATGTCAGGCTAGTCTAGTTATGTGTTCCCAACCGTACGGCAGTGTTAATATGTTGACATCCTTCAGACCGAACAGCGAGAGTATATTAACTTTGTCCGTTCATTTATGACGTTTCAAAGTGTGCAGCAGAACCCCTTGCAAACAATATATATCATTGGCTAGCAATCTATTAAGCCAATATAGTTCCAGTTTGGAATTAGGCCTGACTCCCAATGCACCTCGGCATACCAAAAAACTTATAGCACATATTGGTGCAAAACTTACTATGAAATATTGATCACCGCTTGCTAAAACTTCAAAACAAAGTTTAACCTACAAATCTAAAAAATTAATGAATAAAGGTTTTGAACAGCGAAACGAACAAGATTGGCTCGGTTCAATTACGCTAAAGAATTTGTATTGAAATTAGACGAAGACCGTTGTAATCGTGAGAGACTTGCAAATGCATAACCTGGCAAAGGAGCTAAGATTTGTCGAACCATACATATTATATATATATTGTACAAAACCCCTTCAGCGAATTCGCAATGAATACTATGTTCTTTTTAGGCAGAGTACATATGCCAAAATGTATGCCCGCTATAGTTTCTAACTGCGTATGCAGTTTGACGACCAAAAATTACGTTTTATTTTTACATACACAAACGATTTTGCGAAAAGCTTATATTAAATTTTAAACCAACATCTGCAATCGTTTGCCGCGGTTGCGCTTAATGCCTGATAACAATAAAAGAACGTTTACATTATGAATATGCATAAGGATTAAGTTCAAAGAAGCTTAAGCAAGAGAACAGTAATAAAAAAAGAACCTCTCGATAATATATATATTTTTTGTGATTAAAGAAGAGATTAATAAAAGAAAATTGTCTTTAATGTTTTCACAAGTGACACATTGTATGGCAACTAAAGCGTGCTAAAATATCGGGGGAAAAAATGATGAATAGAATTAAAAACTCTCACAATGCCAAATGTCGCTATAGACGTTTTCACCTTTTCCATGCTAATATGCCTACAGCAGCTAACATTTTCATTTCTCTCTTATTGTTATATATTATTAGGGCATAATAGCTCCAAAATTGGAATTATCGATTAAATTCACTATAAAAGATCGCCTACAAGACATTGATGCTATTAGTTTAAATAGAGCTGGCACTACTGCGAAATCATTACATAACAAATTTCCGAACATTGCGAATTACTCCCCCCATAAACCCTATGAGCCTCCTTGTACTAGACGATCAAACTCAGCATTGTGCAGTGATTTTCCTCGTAAACAAAGGCCCGTCTGTCACAATCGTAACCCTTCACCGATGTAAGTATAAAAATAGACTCCAATATTTGATAAATCAATCAATGACCTTTTTTTGATTGTAGCAAAACGGTTTATTATTCCAAATTTCCATATCGGAAAGATAGGTAAGAGTTCGAAAAGTTCGAACGTTTGAATAAAAAGTTGAAAAATTATTATGATTACTTTAGTAATAAATATTTGCATGATGTCAATGATCGACCTATTCAGAGAATTTATAGCCTTGAGAAACCTGTTTCACCGTATCTTGAACCCAATCACAATCACCAACAAAACTGTGAATTGTGTCGCTTATATCAACAAGTATTTTTATAGAAAATGTTTTAATAAGAATTTCTATCCAGCTCCATCAAATTTTATTTGATTTTATCATTTATCGTAATA